CTCCAACCTCGGGTCCCCAGGCGACAAGAGGGGCCAGGAGCGGTGGCAGGTCCCTCGGGTGGGGATCTGGTGGGTGGGGATCTGGTCCCTCGGGTGGGTGGGGGGGGATCTCACCTCCACCAACTGCATGAGGTTTTCAAAGTAGACCTCCTCGTCGATGCTGAGCTTGCTGGAGGAGTAGATGATGCGGTAGTGCTCCACCTTCCCCTCACAGCTGACACAGAGGGTGTAGTCCCCGGGGTAGTTGGTGCTCTCCCTCACCAGGAACAGCCCGGTCTCGGGGGGGTACAGCAGCCTCTCTGCCTGCTCCCGTGTGATCTTCCCGTGAAACCACCTGGGACAGGGCAGGGAGGGCAGGTTGAGGGGCAGGGATGAGTTGTTCCAAGGGTCAGACCCCTCTCCTCTCCCCATCCCAAGCCCTGGAGTTATTATGGGGCTGTGGTCAGGGTGATGGGGACCCGTGCATCCTGCTCCCCACGCTGGAACCAGACTGGGGGTTGCTGCTGGCAAAGACACACACGGCAGGGACATCAGCACCATCCCTCCCTTCATCCATCCACCCACTTGCCTGCCTATCTGCCCCCTACAGATGCTGTTCCAACCCCTCTCCTTGCTCCCAGCAGCCTTTCCGACCACAGCTTTGGGGGAAAAAAAGACCCATTTGGGAAAGCCATCCAACCACCCCATCACCTTTGCCCGGCAGCAGCAGATCCCAAAACCAAAGCTGCTGGGGAAAGCCCAAGCCCCCTTCTTCTCTCTCAACCTCACTAAAGCCCTGGGAAAGATCTTGGACACGGGGTCAACTGGGTCCTTGTCTCCCTGGGAGGTCCCAGGTGGACACACTCACGGCATCAGGCTGAGCTTGATCCCAGCTTTGACTCCTTCCCGCTTCTGCACGTAGTTCGCGGGGATGATCCCCTCCCGGCCCACCTTGTTCTTCGCCTTGTACCAGTTGGGATCCTGTGGGAACAACAGGAATGGCACCACGGGCCCGTGGCCCCCAGAGATGGCAGCACCCCCAGGCCCCCAAAGGGAACCCCCAGGGGGGGGTCGGTGCTGCCCCTCCTTTCCTGGAGCCCCCCGACCCTCAGCCTTTCTCTTGTCCCACCCCCCCCACGCTGAGCACTGATTCACTCCCAGATCAGGAGCCTCCCCCCTCCCTCCTCACCTCCCAGGGGGCACCTCAAGAGGTTTAACATGTCAGAGAAACCTTAACTAACGAGGCCAGGAATTAATTAACCAAAAGGGTGGCCCCGTTCCCGCCCGGCACACAGGGATCCCACCAGCACGGCAAGCACAGGCAGGCAGGGATGCTGCTGGCACAGGGGGTGGCAGCAGCAGCCCCTGGTGGGGGGGGGAGTTGTGGGGTGGTGGTGGCCTTACCTTGGTGACAGCGACGATGGTAAGGACATCTCCTTTGCTGAAGGGCAGGTCCTGCTCGGCGGTACCGTGGAAGTTGTACTTGGCGATACATTCTGTACCGGATGGCCAAACGGCCTGCAGGGGACAGGGGGGACAGTGTCAGAGCCTGGCTGGGCATGTCACAGCCCCCCCCGACCCATGGGGACACCCCCCACAGGGCCCCCATTCCTCCAAAGCAAACGGGATCCACTTAAACCAGAAGTTACTTGGGGGGTTTTAGGCAGCGCTGGGAGCTGGGACCGGGACACGCACAAAACCACAGGTCCCCACAGGGCTGGGCTTCTGCAGGGCCAGGGGGACAAGTGTCCCCCTCCTCGGCCCTGGAGCCACCTCGGAAGCAGATGGAGGAGCTGGAGAGCCCAGTCCATCCCTGTCTCTCCTCCTCACTCTGTGCTTACCTGCATCCCTGACATCTTCTCCGCAGGTTGGGGGAGCGCGACTCTCACAGGGGGGACGCGTCACTTGGTACCATCAGACCTGGAGGGGGGCAAGGATGGTGGGGAGGGCTGTGTCAGGGGGAGGCACAGGGAGCAGCAGCCACCCAAAAGGTGCTCCCTGGGCCGCTGATCATCTCTTCTACCCCCACCAAGGGAACAGGTCCTGCCTGAGGCACCACCACCAAAACGTCCCCAGGCTGATCCAAAAGTCCATCTAAGGGAGCCTCGGAATCACAGGCTGGTTTGAATTGGAAGGGACCTTCAAGATCATCTAGATCCAACCCCCCTGCATGGGCAGGGACACCCCTCACCAGCCCAGGATGCTCAGAGCTCCATCCAACCTGCCCTTCAACACTGCCAGGGATGAGGGAACTGACATGGGACTACACAGTCCCAACATCCCCCCCTGCCTCCTCCATCCGCCTCCAAGAGCTCCCAGCAAGGCAGTTTGTGGTCCCTGGGGGGAAACTGAGGCACAGGGCAGGGAGAAGATCAGGCTGGTGAGGAGTAGCTCCTCCAGGCACCAGGCTCCCACCTCGGCCAGCATCCCAGTCCCCTCCCCCAGCAGCCCCAGGGCAGAGCAGCTGGAGCCCCAACTCTCCCACGGCGCCCGGATGGCCCACGTGTGGAAACATCCAGCCCTGGGAGCTTCCCAGGCCCCCAGAGCCAAAAGAAAGAAAATAACACCATTTCCTGAAGGATCAGCACTCCGGGACACAGGAGCTCCTGCTGGCTCCTTCATCCCAGGGGGATGCAGGGGCCGGGGGTGCTGGGTGCCCCCCCCTCTCCAGGCAGGGCCCCGGGGCTGGGTCGCATCCTGCCCCGGCGCGTGGGAGGGGAACAAACCCGGCTTTATTCTCCCTGCTTTGACCCCTGGGAGGAGATGAAGTCAGCAGCCCCAGCATCCAAACCCAGCTTTCTTGGGCCAGGGCACTGGGGCTGAGCTGTGGGCACAAGAGTGGGGTCCATCCCTGCCCGTGCACCCCAAAAACCAGCCGGGACATTCGTCAACCCACCCGACGGTTTCAGGGCTATCAGCGGGTCGTCGTTCCCAGCCCTAACTCTTTGTCAGCAGCTCAAAATATTTTGGGAAGGAGGAACTGAAACGAGGGGCAAGGCCAGCAGAGACGGGAGGAGGAAGAAGATAAGGGGGCAGAACCATGGGGAGGAAGAGAGCGGATGTGAACACGGCCCCATTTCCACCACAGCCGTGCCCGGACCCCTCCGGAAAAGGCGTCACGCTGCCAGCACCTCCCTCACCTTCCCCCAGAGTGGGGAGGTGTCACGAGCTGCTTCAGTTTTGCTATCAAGAGAGGAGAAACTTGAGGCTCAAGATGCTCACTCAAAGGGCAGAGCTTGAGGGACCCAACGCTGAGAGCTGGGGATTTCCACGAAGCCCATCGCTGCGGCGTCTGGGCTCTGTGGGTGGGGTTGGTGATCTCCCCATCCAGCCCTGGGGCTGCTGGTGAAGAAAAACACCCTCTTGGATGGCACCCAAACCCAACTGGGTCCCCTATATGTCCCCACAGGCCTGGGGACACTGCCATGGAGGTGGCCAAGACCCAAGGGAGGGCAGTGCTGGACCAGAGTGCATCCCCCTGAGACATCCCTGCCACAAACTCTTCTTGGTTTCAAGCTGATTTTTGGTTGCATCCTGATTTCACACCTGGTGTGGAGTGAAAACTTCACCAAAGGGTTTTGGATCCCTCCAGTCCAAAAGGCAGGAAAAACAGGGAATAAACTACACCCTTGCATCAGTCCCTAAGGGATTCAGCTAAAGCCTGGAGAGGAGCTGGTTGAAGAGAAAGTGCCCGTGTGGAAGGCACTTCCCACTGCCAGGGGTTTGGTCCCAGCACCCTGTGGGGACACCCAGAAGTAGCTGGTCCTGGTGTTGTTGCTCAAGAAGCTGCTCAACCCCCTGAAGTGCTGAGTCAGCCTTTCCCAGCGGCCGGGTGCTCTGACACAGCTCTTCCAAAATAACCAAGGGAGCCAGAAAAAAAAGGCAGCAGGATGGAGGTTTTTTCACCCCAGACGTGACCCCCGGGTGGAACATCCTGGCTGAGCTTTGCCCATGGGGTGGGGATGCTGGGGAGCATCACCTGGAAGGGATGGATCCACCCCCAGCTTGCAGCCCTCTCCCTGCAGGAGTCGGATCTTCCCAGCCCCCAAGTTTGGGTTTCCAGCTGCCAAAAGCACCAGCAGTTATATGTTATGAATGCAGAGAGGACACAGAACTCATAAGCCCACCTCTGGGCTTCCAAGCCTCTAAAAAAAGAGTATTTTTCTTCTCTTTTTAAAGAGAAAACTGTCCCAGCAAACCCCACCAAGAGGAACATGCTCCAGCTGGTCCCAGCAGTTTCAACTTCCCAGACTGTGGAAATTCATGGCATTGGGCAGGGGCTTTGTCATAAACACAGCACTAGAAATTTGCCTATCAGCTTCAGAGGAGGAGGTGGTTAATGGCACAGGGAATTGCCTTTCCCAGAGCCCCTGATGTCCCCTCCTCTCTTTCAGCACAGACCTTCTCCCTCCCAAGGGTGGCTTGAAAGCAGCAGCCTGGTGCGTTGGGTTTTTTTTCCCAGTCATTCCTGAATTCCATGCCCTCCTCCAAAGCTTCATCCCAAGAGGAGGAAACCACCCAGCCACCCTGAGAGCACCCAGCTCTGGGGCTGCTGCCAACCAGCCCCCCTGAAGGCACCACTGCCTGCGGTGGCCTCATGTGACAGCCAGTGGTTCCTGCCCAGCACGTCACCCGCTGTCACCCAGCCTGGCCCCAACCCTGTCCCTGCTGCCATCCCAGCTCATCCCAAAGGGATGCTGGGCTGGGAGAAGGAGGTGGTGATGCCTGAGGTGGATCCAGAGGCTCAAGGCAGCATCTCCTGCCTTTCCCTGCTGGAGAGATCCAGCAAAAAACACCAGCACTGCCCCTAAAGCAGAGGCACTTCCCCTGGGAGGACACGTAGCAGCAGAAGTCAGCTTGAAAAATAAGTAAGTTGCAGGGAGCAGCCCAAGCAACTCGGCACAGCCCAGGGCCAGGTCTGCCTATTTCCTGAGGGTTTGTCCCTCTGGAAACTCCCCATCCCCAAAGAGGGACTCGGGGAAGCAACTGGGGAACCCACCGGCCTTTTCTCCACTGAAAACCACTTCCCTGTCTTCTCCCCCCTCCATCCTTCCAGCTGTTCTGCCCAGGCACCCCAGTGAGGAAACTCAGCCCAGAGCTGCTCCCTGAGAAGGGCTGAGGCACATGCTGGTCCCCACTGCCTCCCTCCCAGCCCTGCTCCTGGATTTTCCTCTGGGAAGCCCAGCTCAGTGACTGAAAGCAAAGCCCCGACCTGCTGGGGAAGTCAGGCAGGGCAGGTACAACCTTTGCCAAGCTGAGAATCCAAAGGGCACCAGGAATACAAGCCAGGGGAAACCTCTCCTTAACCACCAGCACTTCCTTCTCTTGCCAAAAACTGTGCTGGGATCAGCACCCAGGGCTGGAGTTTGGGACCCTTAGACCAAAGAGCACGGGCACCATGGGACGGGCTGGGAGAAAGATGCTGCATTTCCATTTCAAACCCAGTTAGCTGGAGGGAAATGGGGAGCAGACCCTTTAGGATGGAATTTGAGTTGCAGGTGGTGGGAAAGCTTCACTCCTGTCAGAATTCAGCCTGGGGATGGGCCACCTGCACCCCCCTGGCTCTCCCCACCCCTCCCCAAGACATCTCCCCAACGCTCGGCGACCCCAGTTTCTTGAAAACTGAAAAAAAAAAAAACCCAACCAAAAGGGAAAAACAAAAAAAAAGAACCAACAAACCAACCCCAAAAGAGACAACATCCTCGCTCCCTCCAAGAGATCTTATCACCTGTTATTACAAGTAACAGCTACGATGACTAGAATCAAAAGGAAAACGTTCCTCCTTTATCTCATCAACGAGCTGGCTGCTCTGCTCCCCCAGCCCAGCCTGCACAGGGTGCCCTGCTGGGGGAAATAAAAAAAGGGGGGGGAAGGTGTCTTCCTTTTTTTGGGGGGGTGTTTTTCTTCATCTTTGAAGAAGAAAAAGAGAAGATGTTGCTGTTCAAACCACAGAAGGTGCCTGGGGGATAGAGGGAGGCAGGTGGAGGCCTGGAGAGATGCTGCTCCCGGCCTCCTCATTGTGGTTTTCCTGGTCCTCCTCCCTCTTGCTTACATAAAAACCCCACCTCATCAGGAGGATTTTTGTCCCCTGGTTACCCCACCAATCATCTTGGCAGCCCCTTGCTGGAGGGTGTCAGGGAGTCCCTGGGGGATGGACACGTGGGCACAGCAGGATGAGGTCGGCAGGTAATTTTGCAAACACCCGTTGCAAGAGCAAAAAAAGACAGGGCTGTGGAAAAGAGTTGCAGGGCAATGTGCACCCCCAAATTCCCTAGGGGGCTTATCCCAGTGCTGCTCCCCACCTTGAGCCTTTGCTTCATCATCATCACCACCCTGCTGATGCTCTGTGAGGGATGGGGAGGATGCTCCCCAAAACCTGCATCCCTCTGCCACGGGTCTCACCTTGCCAGGATGGGGCCAGGCTCCCCACCAAATCCCAGGGGACCCTCAGAGAGGGTCAGCCAGCCCCCTCACCTTGGATTTTACACATCCCATTTCAAGATACTTGCTGTTTTGTTGCGTGTTTCTAACACCCCGGGGGGCACAGCCCCTTTCACTCTCCAGAACCCCATGAGCAACAGCTGTGCCTATAAATAACCCCTCCCCGCCTTATCAACCCAACAAGAAATATAAAAATACACCCCCCCCAAAATAATTTTACTAAATAATAAGAAGAAAAAAACCCAACCCCTCCTGCTCTGCC